CTTCTATTTGGTAAACCGGATGCAATGCATATGCCGTCCAAACTTATCCAAGCGAATAGATTTGCGAGAACCGATATACTTTTCCATTAGGGTGTAGGGTGCTTGGTCAGGCTACGAGTATGCGTACAGTAGTATTCCCCTTGGGCGGGAGTGTAATTCAGTAGGCGTTATATGGCAGTCCTTTGATTGGCCGCTTTCCCCTTCCTGAAAATCGTATTTTTGTATATTGAATAAAAATGAAAAGATGAAAGATATACAGAACCCCCCGATACACCAAGAACAATAAGAAGTGTGACAAAATGGATGTGCAAACGGTGGTATCTAATCGCGAGAAACTTCAATATTATACATATTCCTCGAGGAGGTGTGTAGTTTTCAGGTGAGTTGCACGCACTCTCTAGAGGACTATTTCTACACATCGCATGATGGACACCATCCGGCGTCAAAGAGAGCCCGAATCACTGCCTTCTCGTAGCGGTGTTTTCCCACCAGAGTGAGAGGACATGGCTGACATTCGAGACTATAACCGGGTTGGTTCACCTCGGGGAGTTGGCTAAAGTCCCTGATTCCAAACCAACTAAGAGGAGGCGTATAAACCAAGCACATGCACACACATTCCTGGTTGTGGTAGTGGTCACCGGCTCGATTGGTTTTTGAGGTGTATTGGGTGCCTTGGGCGTTTGACCCCGGTGTATGAACTGATGAACTGGACATCTGCCACCAACGGACTGCGGTTTTCGCTCATCGCTCCGCTGCCTTGCGGGTCAGGCTTCAGCTAGCCAAAGGCTGTGGTTGTGAACTCCCTAATAAAATTCACCTGCTTTGGTCGGGACAACCTAGCAGTATCGTGCCCTCGAGCAAATCATGGGACTTTTTTCTTTTTATAAAGATCATTTTACCATGATTTGTTTGACACAGCTTGAACTCAGCAGTTTGTGAAAATGAAGTGAAATAAAAAATGTCTCAAAAGGGTTTTCAGCGGAAAATTAGTTTTTCCCTGGGAAATGATTTGGGACCGATTGTCACCATTGAACTCAGTTTTCACCTTCATACTGATCGTGGCTCTCCTTTTACACTGATTGATGCACAAACTTTCTTCGCAAATAACCATCCGGAAAGGTATGAGAAGACCGCATTGCAACGGACAGATCGTGAGATTATTTTGAAAGTTCTTACGCTTTCATTGAATTCCCAGATATAATAACTTGCCGTGCACGAATCATTAGTATTCCACGATAATATTGCAGACGACATTGTCCTGCAAGGTGAGGATTCAGGTTAGTTGCAAGTTTTTCTGGATAGTTCGGGTGTTATCGCAGCCATGTTCAGCATGCGTTTTTCACCTTCAAAGTGTACAGTGTTTACAGTACTGGGTTGGTTCAGCACCCAACCTCACTCTTACTGGGGAAGTAATAGACCAAGTGGACAAGTTTTACTATTTGGGCAGCCATATCTCATCCGGTGAATACATCCATTTAGACCAGTCTTGCTCTGCGATTCAGAGACTTGGCCATTAAGAAAACAGGATAAAAATAGAATACCGCTGCTTACTTCGCATTACACGATTCTTGTGATGAAACCGGACAACTGATGCTGAAGTTAGGCGGGAGTTTAAGTAATCGCGCTCGTCTGCTTTAGTTGTCGACCTCCATAGACTACGTGGTTGGAACTTGTGTTACACATGTCACCAAATAGGTGATGTTTGCCGAGGCAGGTAGTGGGTGGAAAAAGGTCAAGGGTAGTCGAACTAGGACCTGGCATGAGGACATGAAAACACTAACCGGGAGAATCGTTCATATAGGTCGCGTTAGGATTCCTGATGGGGATGTCGGGATCATTGTAATCAATGGTTGGAAACAATGAGTGATATGGCTGCATAGCGTAAACAGTGGTGATCGTGCATTTCAATTTCTTTACGACCTTGGTTCACTGAAATTCTCGATGGTCTCTTCCACTCCATTTCCAGCTTTCCTGGCTTTCTCTTTCCGCTTCATCTAAATGGGTAACCCAAAGACAGTAACCAAAATTGGCGCATGAAAGTGCGTAGTTAATGGTTGTGCACACTGAAAGCTGAGTGATAATACTGCTTTCTAAGAATGAAGTTTTTATTTTCCGTAGTAACTTGTCTACACGCATTGGATGGGGGCTAAAACCTCAGCTGCGAGTACTTTTTAGTATACGTGATCTTTACTTCCTTCCTATTTATTGATCAACTTTTAGAAAGGGGATCACGACCACACAAATGCTGCTTGGGAAGGCGGATACGGAAATCTAGGAAGATGCACCGTAGTGGCGAAATTCAACCTCAGGACCACCAGGTTGTTATTTCCATGTCCCGAATCACTTGGCCAGCGCTATATGACTTTGTTTTCCTTCAATCATCACTCAGTCGGTCCATCTTATCACAATTCTCACTCATTATTCGAGTTTATCATAAGAGAACAACACATGGAATGGAGACGAGATTTGAAAAATCCATGGAGTGATTGGGTAAAATGGGTTTCTCGTCTTTCATTCTTGGGATCCAAAAGGCTTCACCTTCTTAATTGGTAACTGTAAATATACGTTAGTATCCTTCTTGTCATTTTTAGCAAATTTTACTGGAGCCGTTGAGCACTGGTAATGGATCTTTCGGAGCTCTGCATACGCTGCGTATTGCTGTATATCATTAATTATTTACAAGTACATTTTCGTTCGTTGCATTTGATATGGGTCCATCTGGTGTAATCTGACTAATTTTCACACGACAAGAGCTGGACACATAAGACTAAAACGCTTGATAGAACAGTTATTTCTGAACCGTGGGTATAGAGGAAAGGTTATGAAGTTAACTCCAAACGAAGTTTCCATCAGGAAACTCGTATCCCAATTCAGTTTAGGGAGAGTGCAATTCCACCTGATTGTAAAAATGAGACCGTCAGAATTATTTGGGGACAAGTCTGTGATTCTTATTGTATTCGCAACTTGCTTGCTTCACGGATGTCAACACTGCTACATGCGAATGTTCTCTCATTGCTCGTGGAAACCATCTGTCGTTTACATTTTCTGCTGCAGGTATTGGCTCATAAAACGTTATATAATAATTTCGCACAAACGAAGGTTAGCGGTGAAAACTTCAAAGCCGTCATACTCGCTGAAGACCGTTTTATGATAAGGTCTTGGAAGTTTTCGTAGAAAAACGGGCTGAAATGTATTCCTATAAGGTGTAGGAATTATAATCTGCAGAATATTTTGAACTGTTGTGAAACTGGCTATCGTTTTAGAGTCGTTTCCAAATGCAGCTTGACTGAAAGATGTGATACACACAACGGCATTCGAAATCCTGAGAAAGGTGACACCACTTCAGTAGCATGCGGTGCTACTATGGAGAAACGTAGACCTTTAGTCGTCTAAGAACTTGGAAGTTAACGCTATTTCAAACACAAACCTGGTGTTGTTGACAGTTGATTATAAATTTAACGGACGTGCATGGATGGCCGAGTACATGTTTCGAGAGTTGGTTTCAAAGATGGATAAGCAAAGGCTGATAGAAAGATGATCGATTCTTCTATTGAATGGGCAACTGTTAGGCCTATCTGCAAATACAACGAAGATCACATCTCTTGTAAAATAGTGAGTTGCGATGCTACCTTTCGAGTTTGAATGTTTCATGATATTAATCTTCTAAAATTCATAAGTATACCTAATTGTTGAAAGTTGTTCTGATTTAATTAGTTTATGTTACAACACAACGGAAAAAAGACTGAGAAAACCTCGTCCAAAACTCCTAATGCATAATCAGTCAGCCATTATTCCAAGCCCTGAAATTTATAGTAGCATACTGTACAGAAAGGTGTGCCATCAACATGGGTGCATCAAAGCTGGGTTACGCTAAATGGTACCTTTTCATTGAGTTTCTTCTTGACGAATTCCTAACTGTCATAGTTCCAGCTCGTTACGCTGTATGCTCAAAGTACTTTTACCTCCCTCATTTTAGCTTATCTGAATACTGGAGTATACAATTTAGTTGAGTCATCAGAATGAAACAACACCGGGATCATTCTTGGATATACTTCTGTGTCAGCCTGTTTTCTGTTGTGGTCACCTTTGGTGCGTCAATGTTTTTGGCTTCCGCGTTTTCTCGTGTTCAACCAGAGCCCTATATGGACGAAATATTTCATGTGAGACAGACCCAACTCTACTTGCAAGGAAATTGGACTCACTGGGACAAAAAAATCACTACACCTCCTGGAACCTACGTTCTATTCGTTGCGGCACAGCACTTGTTGAAACGTGTCAATCTGCTGCCAGAATCGATCTCTATCTATCATTTTCGGTGTTTTAACGCCTTCATTTCGGGAGTCAACCTGCTGTTACTACTGAGTATCAACAGACGTTTATGCGGCACTCAGAACCCGATTAAAATCGCTCTTTCCATCATAACTAATCCCGTTCTCTTCTTTTTCTCCGCTCTTTACTATACGGATCAGTGTGCTTTGATGTTCACTTTGCTGATGGTCTATGCATCACTTCACGGCTATGGAACTTGGAGTGCTTTATTCGGGGCTTACGGTATATTTGTTCGTCAAACTAATGTTGTGTGGCTCCTGGTCAGTTTATGTATCTTAGTCGGACGACAAATCAGCTCCCTCTATGACTCCGATCGAAATGGTTCTATATTGCCGGTTGGTGCCTGGTTTTATCATGTTTTAATCAGATCAGCTACACAACCGAAGTTACCTTGGCGTGCGTTTTTCAACGCTGTCCTTGGAGCACCTGTTCATTTTGCAGTGGTATTGGGATTCATACTGTTTGTTTACTGGAATGAGGGTATAGTTTTGGGCGACAAAACTGCACACCAGGCAGTCATCCACGTCTGCCAGTTGTGGTATTTCTTTGTATTTTGCACTCTGCTTACTCCATGGCAGGCATTTCAGTTTGCCTTAAGATGCATCCGACGACTGCGACGGAAGCGTCATTCAGACCTAGTTCATTCATTGTTGCTGTCCTTGTGCGCTTTAGCTATCATTCTTGTTTCATTGCGTTACACCTCGTTTGTACACCCCTATCTGCTGGCAGATAACAGACATTACACGTTTTATGTGTGGCGTAAGATAATTTCTCGAACACCAGTGACATTTTATTCCCTGTCTGTGGTGTATCTGTACTGTAGTATATATTGGGTTGATTGTTTGTTTGGATCAGGAGTTACAATGACTCATTGTCTCATAAATACAGCTTTGATTTTGGGTACTTTAATTTCATTGGTCCCTGCCGGTTTACTTGAACCCCGTTACTTTATATTGCCTTACACTTTGTGGCGTTTGTTCGCCGTGCGCTTCCTTTCCGGTCAGACTAGCGTTTGGTTCTTGGAGTTTGGTATGAATGTCTGCGTGATTGGTATTACCAGTTACTTATTTTATGCCAAACCTTTCTTTTGGTCTCATGAACCTGGCGTTCAGCGTTTTATCTGGTGAAATGTATCCATTTTTTTTTCGATTTTTGTAAAAATATCCGGCAAAAGTGTGATATTTTCTCGAGATATTGGTAAAAAACATTCAATGCTTATGCGCTTGTTGCTCTCTATTTGATGCATTTTATCCACCGGATGATATTTTTCCGGACATCATGGTCGAGACTTTTTGTATACTAATTGTTTCCAAATGATGTCCACGATGATTCAAGTCCTGATCTTTGAGCATGAAGATAAATCGTGGTGCACTGTGACTTCGATGGGACTTTACTTTGCATCACAGTATATATGTATATATTTTATTACACACCTATGTGTGATGAACAGCACAAGAGACGAACCCCATAGTCACAAGGACCTGTTGTTTAGTGATGAAAACCGGTGACCTAAGCCACGGGACTTAAAGTGGTGAACCACATAAGGCCCCGCTAAGTTAGTCGCGGTATTGAACCGGACGACCCACCAAAGTCGGGTGGCAGTCGCGGGCTCGAACCTCGGACGGTAGAGTCCAAAGCACGCCAGTGACAGCGACTGAACCATTGCGCCACCATATGTATATATATATATATATATCACACGTCTGACGCCACTATCACGACGAGACTGCACCTTGACGTGGTGTGATGGCTTGTGCACCTCTATGACCCAACGAGCTACACAGGATGACTTTTACCGAGCCAAAGATCTAATCATGCCAGGTCAATGGGTAGAGGTCAGACGAAGTCCAGTCTCCTGGTCCTCCAGGTTGGGGGTTCGACTTGAGTCGGCGTCTCAGTCGATNCAAACTGATTGGTCTCCAATCCGTCTTAACCGCTGCCTTGTGGTTAGGTTTTTGTCAAAACTAAAGGCTTTGGTTGAGAACCCTAATCGTTCTCCTGCTTAGTGGCTGGATACCCTGGCAGTACCTGTCCATAAAGCTCCAATGAACACATGAACAGAAAATAATTTCATACTGCATCGGTCGTCGCGCAGGACAATCAGGACCGCGCTGCCCATAACATCGAACGGGGTGGGTAGTGATAAGTGGGCTACTGCTCAGATATCCCAACCCTTGTTTAACTCTTTGTCTTCCGTACCCAAC